GTTCGTAGAGAACGAGGGGAGGTACAGACCAGACAGGGTGCCAGAGGGGGCCGCCGGACATGGGAGGACAATGGAGAAGTGAGGAAGGACAGGACCCCCAGAGGGGTCTGCCAGGGAGACTGCAACCGGCCGACTAAGCGGCGTGAGTGTGGTGCGGTCTCGAGAGAAGGAGCGAGACGCTCCCGAGTCAAGGGTGAAGGTATGGGAGGCCAGAGCCCACGCGGTACCTGAGAGAGCAGACTCACCAGCACCTGAGGAAGCAGACTCACTGGCACTTAGAGCAGCAGCCTCACCAGCACCTAGAGCAGCAGCCTCTATGCCCGGGTCGGGCAGGAAACACCGGTAACAGTCACCCTCATCACTAATAGTCACAGCATACATTCCAGCAAGAATAGCATCAAAGTCAAGGTCAAAGATAGCTACCCCTGCCTTAGATAGCTCGCCCCAGCGAGGGATCTCAATGGCCTCAGGGAACTGCTGACGCCAAGCATCGGTCAGGCGGCTAAAGCAGTGCTGGGTGGGGTGCGGACCCCCACACTCCTCACCCGCACGGTCGCCAATGCGCAGGACGTAGATGTACGGACCAGTACCCCCACCCCTCTGGCGTGCAGTGTACCACTCACGGAGCTGCTAAGGGGACAGGGTCTCCCAATTGCGCTGCTGCTGCTGGCGCTGACCACCACCGGAGCCACTCCTCTGCGACGAGCCACGACCTCCTCCTCCTCCTCCACCACCGCCTCCACCACCTCCGCCACCTCCACCACCTCCACTCCCACCGCCACTGCCGCCGCCGCCTCCGCCTCCACTGCCGCCACTGACACCTCCGCCCCCGCCACCACTCCCACCCCCACCCCCACCCCCTCCGCTGCCTCCACCGCCGCCTCCACCTCCCCCGCTAGCTCCTCCAGCGCCCTTGCCCCCCTTGCCTCTGCCAGGGCGACGTCTCCCACTAGGGGCAGACGCCGCACCGACCAACTCCAAACCAACGAGGTCGGCCGCAGCAGCAGAGGCAACGGAGGGCAAAAGAGGGGAGGGGGAACACCCCTCAAAGATGGGGGTGCGCGGGTCACCACGAGAGGCCCCTACAGCTAGTATGCTCTTTTTTGCTGCTAGGAGGGACTTCTCGAGGAGCTCAACAGTGAGAGTGGTGGGGCAAACTGAGAGGAAGTGGTCCCTGACTACGCGAAGAGAGTCAAGGAGTCGGGTGACTATGTAGTAGAGGGTGATGTACATAGGGGGGGGGGGGGGGGGGGGTTCTTGGCGCAGATTTCAGCAGGAAGTGCAGCGCGGTAGCGAGTGTCACTAGTGCGGAGGTGTGTAATAAGGTCAGCGACTGTGGCAAAGGCAGCAAGGTCATGGAAGAGGTACGGTAGTATGAGGCGGCTCAGTGCAGTAGTGGCGGGGGAGGAGTAGCGTGCAACTAGAGCTTCGTACAAGGTCTGAGCACTCTTGTACTGGCTAAAGTGCGCACGCTCAGCGGTAGGCAGGTGGCGACGCACAACAAGACGTGCAGCACCATCGCGCGTGGCCCACTGTGAGCGAACAGTGGCGTCAGTATCGGCAGCGGGGGCAGGAGAGGCACCAGAAGTGAGGTCAAAGAGGGAGAGGCCGTCTGCCCTATCGCACCGTAAGAAAAGCTGCAGGTCATCTACCCAGACGTCAAAGTCAATGGCCCGACCCTCAGCGTCAAAAGCGAGGACACTAGGGGTAGTCATGACAGCACTGGACTAGCACCGCAGACAGTGGGGTGAGGGCAGTGCAGCAAAAGAGGCGCTGCTCTTACCGGACAGGGCGGCTCGGGCGGCTCGGCTGCTGGGCGGCTCGGCGGCTCGGGTGCTGGGCGGCTCGGCGGCTCGGGGGCTCGGCTGCTGGGCGGCTCGGTGGCTCGGTTGCTGGGCGGCTCGGCAGCTCGGCTGCTCGGCTGTAGGGCGGCTCGGCTGCTGGGCGGCTCCTCTGCTGGGCGGCTCCGCTGGTTGGCCGCACAGGCAGGCGGCGGGGTCTTGAGGTAGGTGGCGGGGGCCGCACAGGTAGGTGGCGGGGCCGTGGGGAGGTGGCGGGGCCGTCATGTAGGTGGCGGGGGGCCACACAGGTAGGAGGCGGGGCCGACAGGTAGGTGGTGGGCGCCGCACAGGTAGGTGGCGGGGCCGTCCATATAGGTGGCAGGGGCCGCACAGGTAGGTGGCGGGGCCGTCTAGGTAGGTGGTGGGGCCGTGAGGTAGGTAGCGGGGGCCGCATAGTGCGGCGGAGGAGTCGCGGACGGCTGCAGGGGTTGGTAGGCGCGACGCCGGGGCCGCGAGGGCGGCGCGACAAAGCCGCGAGGGCAGCGCGACCGGGCCGCAAGGGCGGCGCGATGAGGCCGCGAGGGCGGCACGACGAGGCCGCGAGGGCGGCGCGACGAGGCCGCGAGGGCGGCTCGACGGGGTCGTGAGGGCGGCGCGACGGGGCCGCTAGGGCGATGCGACGGGGCCACTAAGGGCCGAGAGAAGGGAGCAAGACTCGGGGAGGAGCGGAGTGCGCTCCGGGTAGGAAAAAAAAAATTTAGATCGAACGGTGGGCCCTAGGAACAGTTCCCACGAGGGAACCTGCTCGATACCATCTTAGAATCAGGACGTGAAATGAGTGAACTATGAATGAAAACAAGTACAAGTACTAACCCTAATTGGGTTGTACCCCTTATGGGCTACCCTGCTGTAGCCTAGATAACATGCATCAGCTATAATGTTCTGACATGCAGCGCACCCTACAGTTCTTCGTTTCAACACCCAAGATTGGGCTGTGCTACTCAACTGCACCAACCCCATCTTTCAACCTCATCGGCTACATGGACGTCGATCACGCAGCAGATCCCGACAATCAACGGTCCAGGACTGGCTTCCTGTTCCGACTCGAACGAACGGGATCAATCTCCTATAACTCGCACAAGCAGGAGGTGGTTGTCTTGTCGTCAGCCGAAGCGAAATTTATCGCAGAAACCGCAGCAGTTCGCGAAGGCCTCTACCTACAGGAACTTCTACAGGAGGCGAAAATCCCAGCTTCGCCCACCTTTCGCCTTCACTGCGACAACCAGAGCGCGATTCGCATCGCGAACAAACCTGGTTTCGTCAACCGCACCAAGCACATTGCGCTGCGGTATTTCTTCGTGAAGGACGAAGTGGATAAAGGCAAGGTTGACCTGACCTATTGCCCGACCGGTGACATGGCAGCAGACTTTCTCACGAAGCGACTGCCATGCTAGCAGTATAAAGACTGCTCCGAACTCAGCGGCGTGGTCAAGAGGACAAGTCGAGCAACGACCAGGAATCAAGGGGGGTGTTACGAATAGCAATGAATGAAGATTATAGTGCACTCCCGATCGCAGCTAAAGAAGCATGCAATATCGAGAACGAATGTGAAGAGTCAGAGTTGACTCGAAACGTCAGACGGATGAGATGCATCTGGACCGTCGGAGCAGACGACATCGGGCAGCTGCAGGCAAGAGGGTTTTGGCGGGAACGGTTTCGTAACTGTACGCGCCGCACGGTTGGGAATGAATTTGAATAAGGGAATGTACCCCTTAGAGTACATGGCTAGCTTGGTCGATTCGTATTCCCCTGTACTCTTATTTATATCGTTGTATTTGCATGTTTTAATTCATCTCAACCATTTTACATTCACTCCGTTATTGAGGTCAAGGTCCCACCTAGTCTATCTACATGCGTGCGAACCTTCCCGAGAAGATCGGGCAGCGATCATCTTTTGATCACAGTAGTTCCTTATAGTATGCAAACAACACAGAACAGCATACGCAAAAGATGCATGTGGAAGGAATGTGATTTAGTAACAACAAATACCCTCTCAGGAAGCATGAACCCTAAAAACCATACGACAAGGCTTTTAGGGTTGTTACCTCCAGAAAATATCCCATCCGAAGAGGTTTTAAATCTATATCTTAGAAAAAAAAAGCATATTTTGAACATTATGCTACGGACAAAATGCGCGAGAGAGCGAAATTTCCCTGATTTCCTACACTGATTCAAGTGGTTTCATTTTTTTTATTGAGTGTTTCATCTGTAAACGTGATAGTTTTGCGGGACTTGGTGTAACTATTAGTGATAGTGGTGTGATAATCCGCGATAGATAACCCACATACTGTGCTGTGACCATTTGCATTAGCCGAGTGACCATCCATGATAAACCGGCCATGATTGTGACCAGCCATATAATTTCCCAATCATCCCATTTCCTCCCCCTTCCGCTTTGCGCCTTCTGTGTTCAAACGCGTTCCCAGCTCTCCGCAATCGGAACATCCGGGGATTAGCGAAACTGGTCAAACACAGAGGGTTATACGGGTCGTAAAGTGTCGTGAACTGTTATCTAGCTGCTCGTCGGGCGAAAAGCAGAATCGTTAGCGTTAAAAATTTTCGCTTCTCTTGGCACATGTGACGCGCCATCCATCCACTGCGCCCTTCGCCACGCTTCCACCCTTCACAATCCATCTGGCCCTTGTCCATTCCTCCCATTGCCTTCATTGCGTTCCAATCCACCCATCGACCTCCGTGAAGCCCGCTCTGCCCATCGACCTCCCTCCATCGCGCTCCTGCTTGCGCGCACCATTCGGGCATGGCCCGAGCGAATGCACGCCACTGGGCCTCGGCGCCATCGACGGTCGCTACTGAAGCGCGTGCGCTGCTGCGCCACCTCGTCGGCCCCTGCCTCTTCCGCCGCGAATCCCCGACGCATTATTGCGGACACCCCGCCACGCTCTGTGCCGAGCTCGCTCGCTCTCTCTCAACACATAAATCGCCTCCCCTTCCGAAGCTCTCACAATCGCCGCACTTATTCTCGTTCCCCGTCACCGCCTTGCCTCTCGTGCATCTCGCATCATCTCGTTCCTCCCGCCGGTCGAACCTCGCTCATTCCACCAGCGATCGTCGCCGGCCCTACAGCATTTTGTCGCGAAGGTTTGACTTTCCGCGCGACTCGAAGTTCGAGGTTGAAGCCTTTCGCTGCCTTCCGTCGTGATGGACCGCTGCGGGCGGCCGTCTGCCGTTGGGCTCGTCGCACTCGTCGCCGGGCTCGCTGCGATCAGCCTTCTCGCGACCCAGGCCAGCGCAGGTGAACGCCGTGCTCCTATCGCCACTCCCAGTGGGTGTTCATTCTTGCTCACCCACCCGCCTTGCTTCTTACCCTCCTGCTTCTCGCGGTCGTGGGTGGTCGTTGCAAGAAGCTGCTTCACGCTCAGAACTCATTTATTCAAGGGCTCGACATGCGCGCTACTAAACTACTCCCCATACGAGCACGCTGCCTAAACACCACAAATAGTTCTCCCCATTTCCCCCCCCTCCCCCTCGTGCGAGCCCCTCTTCCTTTGAGTTTCATCAGGAGTGTGGTGAGCGATGGAGGGTGGATAGTGTCAGAGGGGAGGTGGGCGTGAGAGCAGTGCAGGGGTGTACAGTATCAAGCAAGAAGCTTACCTCTTCCAATTCCCTTTCCCCTGTGTCACCTGGAAACCGCCACGCATCCACGCAGACGCGTGTGCCACGGTGGACTGCGGGTCAGACGCGCACTGCTCTGCGGCCGATGATGGCTCCACGGAGTGCCTGTGCGGCGTCATTGGCTATGCCTTCAACGAGGCGACCAAGACATGCATTGGTGAGTGGTGCGAGTGCGGGTGAGTGAGTGAGTGCGCATTGACCTGTGCTCTCAGTGACCTGTGCTCTCAGTGACCTGTGCTCTCAGTGACCTGTGCTCTCGCTGACCTGTGCTCTTACTGACCTGTGCTCTCACTGACCTGTGCTCTCGTTGACCTGTGCTCTCGCTGACCTGTGCTATCAGGTAGTCACAAGGAAAGAGACCGTCACCTGTCCAGAGTCTACATTCACCTGCCCAGACTTTACGGTCAGCTGCCTCCACTCAGTGAGCCGATCTATGCTCCTTGCCTTCTCCCCTCCCCTCGCCTTCCCCCCTCTCCCACCCGCCTGCCCAGTGCAGACCCGTGCCCATCAGTGCAGTGTCCGGAGAAGGCGGAGTGCGTGGCAAGAGGGGGAAAGGGGGAGTGCGAGTGCGAGCTGGGGTACATCATGCAGAACGGCGTTTGCACTGGTGAGCTGCTCCGATTTTAGGCAAACACATCCTGTCACATGTGACGTTTCAACAGTTGTAACCCCTGGGAGGTAGCCTTGACACCTCATCTTCCGTCTCTCACATTCCGCCTCTCATCTTTCCCTCCCCTCAACAAACCCCCTCCCTTTCTCACCCCCCCCCCACTAACCTCTCCATCCCGCTCCCGGTCCCCCTTGTGCTGCAACAACTCGACGGCGTTGTACCCCCATTATCCCCGCAACAACGTGCAACGCCCGTGACGCCTGCTCGCAGACGGCTTGCTGCAGACGAGGGTGGAGGTGGAGGGCCTCAACTATCTCTCGCTGCTCACCTTTGAGAGCCCCGTGCCCATGGCGCAAGCCACTGGCGCCACCGCCTGCACCAACGTCAGCGACCTGGGCGGCAGCAACACGAGGATCACCGTGGAGTGGACGTCGATGGGAGTGGACACGGTTAGCAACGGCATGCGCAAGAGCGTCTCGTTTCACGCTGACCTGGTCTGTGCCGACAAGCCCGGTTTGACCATCGCTCGCCCGGGTTTGACCAAGGTCGGCGGTTTCTTCCCCGTCACGACAAGGTGAGCGAGGGTGGTGTGCGACGGGCAGTGTGGTTTCGTCTGCTGTGCTTCAAGCGTTTCAAAGGGAGCATTCCTGTGTGATCGCCACAACTCTCTTCTTCTTTTGTCAACCGTGTGCTCGTCTGTGGTGTGCCCTGCCATTACCTTCCCACTCTCAGGACTGTGAAAGCAGCCCCGCCGCAATCAGTGAGCTGCGAAATCAGTAAGTGGGAGGGAAGAAACTTGTTCTGCGAAATCAGCATGTGCAGGCCACATGCGCATAGCCCCAGGAGCACGTTTTTTTCCATCATTCTGAGTGCCAGAAGTGCTAAGTGCCAAGGAGGTTCAAGCACCTTCACCTCTGTGTTGGATGAGCCAGCTGGACACACAAGCACAGCTCTATGCACTTAATTGATTCTTCACCGCCCTGCACCATGCCATGCCTTGCTGACCCCTTTGAGATGCCTCAAACCATGCCATGCTTTGCTGACCCCTTTCACCCCTTCCTCTACATGCCTGGCCGGTGTGCCCCACTGTGCCACCAACAACAGCCACGTGTCACAAGGACTGCGGCAGTGCAGAGTGCGTGGTAAAGGGGGGCGTGTCCCAGTGCAAGTGCCCCTGGAGTTTTGTGTTCGACGATGCTCTGAAGCGCTGCACCAACAAGTCTCCCAGCAGCACGGGTACGTGTCTCTCCCTCTCTCTCTCGCCACTGGCCCATTCCTCTTTCTGTTCTCCTCTTGCTTGTACTCAGCGACAAAAGCTACCCCATCAGCCGTTCCTGTTCTGTGTGCATGCAGAAAGATCGGCTGCCTTGGTCTGCTGGAAACTCCCTTGTTCAGGCTGATCCTTCTCAGAAAATGGGGAAAAAAACCAGTCTCACCTCTTTCTTCCACCACCCATGGCAGACACAGACCCTAGCGAAGGTGCAGACCTGTGTGAGTCAGTCAAGTGCGCGAGGAACTCCAAGTGCGTGGTGAGGAATGGACAGCCCATGTGCGAGTGTCACGCCGGCTACACCAAGGTCAACAAGGGCCTCTGCACTGGTGAGATCATCCAGGGCTCTAGACGCAGCACATGAAATCACACTCCTTCGTGTCAACCCAGCTTGAGTGTGTGTGGTATTCTTGTGGCGTCCTCTTTGGCCCCACCTGGTCGTTCCTTCCTCCTCCCCATCTGCTGCCCCACTCAAGCTCACGTTATTTTTCCTCTCCTCCACGCACCAACTCGCACCCACACCAGCCATCTGCAAGCCTGACTGCCCTGCAAATGGCCAGTGCATGGTGGTGGGAGGAAAGCCCGTGTGTCGGTGCAAAGCGGGTTTCCGACAGGACAAGAGCACGTGCACACGTAAGGCCGGAAGTGCGAGGGGGGGAGAACCCCTGTCATATCTCACTCGTTTTCCAACCTCTCCTGTACTCGCTCTCTTTCATGCAACCATGCCGTATTCCATCTCTTCGCCTCTCATCCTTCAACCTTCCCATCTCATCTCTCACACCCACCCGTCCCACTTGACAGCCGTGTGCAAGCCTGCCTGCCGTGCCAATGCCCAGTGCATGGCGGTGAAAGAAAAGCCAGTGTGTCAGTGCAACACAGGGTTCAGATCCGTCAACAACAAGTGCACACGTAAGAGCGAGGGGAGAAATATGCTCTCTTCGTGTTTTTGTCACCAGCCACCTGCACCCGTGAAGGATGCTTGTGCCAATGAAGGTTTTGCCATCTGAGCGTGCTCTATGCAATCCCTCAGCTCTTCCCCTCTCATCCTCCATTCCCTTTATCTCTCACACCCACCCCACCCATTTGACAGCTGTGTGCAAGCCTAGCTGCGGTGCTAATTCCCAGTGCGTGGCGGTGAGAGGAAAGCCAATGTGTCAGTGCAACACGGGGTTCAAGCCGGTCAACAACAAGTGCACACGTAAGAGCACAGAAGATAATTTGCTCTTTTTTTTTGTCTCGTTCTCTTGCAAGCCTGTGGATTTCCAGTGAAGATCTTTCTCTTTCCTCCCTACCGCAACCTCCCACTCACACTGATAAACAATCTTTGTGTCACGACATTCGTGCTGTTTATTCTCGCTACGTTGTGGTCCCTTCATCTCGTCCCTTCATCTCGTCCTTGTTTTCATTCTTCCCATCTCTCGCACCCACCCCACCCAATTTACAGCCGTGTGCAAGCCTGCGTGCGGTGCTAATTCCCAGTGCATGGCGGTGAGAGGAAGGCCAATGTGTCAGTGCAGCTCCGGGTTCCAGCTCGTCAACAGCAAGTGCACAGGTAAGAGCGAGGGACGAAAGAGTGTGCTCTCTTTTAGGTTTCGTTCTCTTCCATGCATGCACAGCTCAGCATGCACAGCTCAGCATGCACAGCTCAGCATGCACAGATCAGCATGCACGGATCAGCATGCACAGATCAGCATGCACAGATCAGCATGCACAGATCTGCATGCACAGCTCAGCATGCACAGATCAGCATGCACAGATCAGCATGCACAGATCAGCATGCACAGATCAGCATGCACAGATCAGCATGCAGAGATCAGCATGACAGCTCCAATAAACCTCATGCGCTTCTCCCCTCTATTACAACCTTATGCCTTACTCCTCTACCTCCCTTCTGTGTTCTCTTTTTCGTTTCATTGATCTACATCTTCCATCTCCATGTGCTCATGCTGTCTGTCATCCCTGGAAGCATTCCATTGAGTCTCATCCTGCTGCTGTCTTCCCACCCATCCATCCACCCACTCAGCGAAATGAGTGTTTTCCTCTTGAAGGCGATTGAAGGCTTAAACATGTACTTCGAAGGGGCAGTGTCACTTAATAACAGAGAAGAGGTGCAAGCAACTGCATGTGGTTACTGCGGTTTACCGTAGTAGCCCAGGAATCAAACTTAGGTGACTGTGCTGAGTTATTATGTGTGTTGTATAATGTTGCTGGGTTCTTCACTTCTTTCTTTACATATTATGTCTCTCTGTTTCTAATTCTTCAAGTCTCAAAGCGAATACTGCAAAAACGAGAGGGCAAAATTGTAACCCCCGACCCAACTTGAAATGGCCAGTGCTCGCTTCGCTTGGCCTTCAGTGCCGGTGCTTTTGGAGGGCAATACGGGAAAGTTACTGTTTGGTCTGAGATGCTGAAAGCGCAGAAACAAGAACGTGCCTGAACATGATTGGCTTGCGACTTAGGTGGTCAGAACCCATATTCCGAGGGGTTTCATCACCTGACAAGTGTCGCTTGAAACCCCGTTGTTCACAACGCGGGGATACGGTAGGTGGAGAGGGCAGGAAAAGGATGGCACGCCAATGATTGAACGTGCTGAAAATGCATCATAACTACGTGCAAAAAGATATAGACCTGACCATACACCACACACAAGAGTGTGGAAGGGAGAAGGGCCCTAGTGAAGATACACACGGCAGACTCCAGATGGGAAGTAAGAGACAGGACACCACGGCATAGCAAGACATGGCTTGGCAAGCAACCACGGCTTCCTTGTCGTGTGGGTCACTTATTTTTTCTGACCTAAAAAAAGAAAACTTATCCCATGGGCTACTGCGGAGGCATCAACAGGAGCAATCAGTCTGGAGGACAGAGCTGGGGACAGAGCTGGGGACAGAGCAGGGGACAGAGCTGGGGACAGAGCTGGAGGACAGAGCTGGGGACAGAGCTGGAGGACAGAGCTGTGTATGTGTGTGCGGAGGAGGAGGGGGGGGGGGGGGGGGGGGGGGGGTGGGTGGGTGGGTTAGGGAAGCGGTGGTGGGGAGTGGGGGGGCAAGGAAGAAGCGATGAGAGAAGGAACGAGATTAGGGCGGGGAGAGGTGAACACCACAGCGCCCTGCCATGATGCGCTGGACGAGATGGAGAGGGTGATGCGTCGGTTCAGGGGTAGGGGGAGAAAAGGAGGGAAGTGAAAGAGAAAGGGAATGAATCTCTTGGCTTCTGGGTTGTAGCCTGTACCTCATGCAAGCAAGGCAGGTGGGCACATGCAGGGGCAAGGCAGGCAGTGACCTGCCAAGTTGGTTAGGAACAACCATTGCAGTGAGTGCCAGAGCCCGTGCAAGGGCATGGCGGGGGATAATGGGGTGATAAGATGATGATGTGATGGGGAAATGGTTTGATGGTGAGATGGAATGACGGAGCAATGAGGTAGCGCGATGGTGGGGTGAAAGGATGATAGGGTGATGGGTTGATGGAATGATGGTACCATGCGGTGAACAGAGTGCCAATGGCAGTGGTGTTGATACAGGAGACAAACCAGAGCACAAAGCTGATTTGGTAGAAGCAGGTTCCACACAAGGTGATAGGACCCAGGACGCCACGGCAGACATCAGCGACCATATCAACGTGAGCAGACTGGACGCGCCATCCCGATGGCAGGGCAGCTGGCCTGTGCACCGCCCTACAGCCCCACGTCGGTGATCTGCGCGTACAGCAACACATGCTGGCCACCGGATCTCACTACCTCCTTGGAGGCTGCCTCCTTCTGACAGGTGGTGGGTGGGGAGGGTGCTGTCAGCACGAGGATGACTTGGTGCGTGCGCTGTTCAGGTGACGAGGCTTAGCCCGCCAATCATCTACGAGCACCTGCGAAGTAGGTGCGCTGCTGTTCTGCGGGAGCAATGCTGGCACGCCGTCAAGCTGCAGCGTTGGCATGCCGTCGACTTCGCACTGCTGGAACGCGGTCGACCATGCTGTGTTGGCAGTCGACCGACCTGAATGCTAGCTCTGGTGTAGTCTTGCCATGCCAACTGATTTGGACCATTATTGTCAACTTTCTCTAGTGAAACTCTTGCCAAATTGCCCCGTGAACTAGCAAGCAGTGTGAGCACTAGGAAAACGACTAAGGACCAACGAACGCAGAGATCACACGAGCACCTGTGCCTAGCGCGTAGTCTAGCTCCCGTTGTAGTAGTTATCTCTGCAGTTTCAAGGCGACTTGAACCACTGGAGAGCAGCAATGCGAAATCACCATGAACGTCTGCAGTTGTGCGGAGTGGAACTGAGAGATGCGCTCGTAGTCGTCGTCTGGTGGAGATACCACGGAGCCATCCACGAATTTCTTCAGTTGCGCAATTTCGAGCAGCACCTTCCACTTAGAGCTGGACCTCCTGCTAAGTTGTAAGGTGAGACGCGGCAGGAACATGAGGACCCGCCACGTTCCCGCGCAGTTTGGCAGTTTGGAGATCCGTAAGAGGGCAGCCAACATACAGGTGGAGTAGTCGCTTAGTATCTGCGGCGGCAGGCGGCGGACGATAGGCAGGTGGGTGGTTGACGTTAGGGTTGAGAGTCCCAGCTCATAGCGATCTCAAAGAGATCCTCCCTCGATGCCAGCTGGGACGCTGACAGGGCTTGGTCCGGAGGGGGTTGGGGTCTGCGGTTCTGTCGGCGTCTAGAACCTCTCTCCTGCTGCTACGCCTGGTCCTCCCCCGCTTCCGCGAGAGGTGAGTCGGGGTTGTCGGGTTGCCTCAGATCTGACGGTACATATTCGTCGCCGCTCCCTTCTGCGTTTGTATCACCGATTCTCATTGCTTGCGTTGTCGTTCCCCCTCTCCCCCCGCGTCTAGCAAACAACTGGTGCGTGACCCGTTCCGCCAGCTCCCCCAACCAGATTGGGCTCAGTAGTTGGCGCGGATTCCCCCTCGCCGCTTGGCTTGCACTCCGCTGTCCTCCGCGCACTCCTCGACCCCCACCTCTCCCCCGCGTGCTTCCCCGTCCACTCCTCGGAGTGGCTGTCAAAGGTGCCGCCTGTTGCGCCTGGGAGATCGGCGTCGTCGGCTCCTCTTGCAACAGTGGAGCGCCCTGAGCGCTCGCAAATGGATTTCCTCGGCGCTCTGGGCCGCGACTGCCCCGCGGAGAGCGATCCCGCTCCCCGTCCGCGTCCTCCTGCACGCCCTACCGCGAGCGTACCTGTTGCTCCACCCGCGTCCGCTGATCAGATCCGCCGCCGCTTCGAAGACCAGCAGCGCGAGCTGGTTCGGCGCGCGGGCAGGTCCTTGTCATCGCCGGAGCCCCTGCGCGCGGGGTCCGTCTTGCGCTCCGGCGCAGAGGGTGTGGTGCACCAGGAGCGTTCGCCTCGCCGTCGCTCATCGGCAGCTCGCGACGATAAGCGGGAGAGCCGCCGCGATGATCGTCACGATGCGGCCCGTTCGCCGCTGTTTCCTCGTTCGCCTCGTTGCGTGGCGTCGCGAAGCCGATCCCGTGACCGCCGTTTGCATCGTCATCGTTTGCCCCCTCCTCGTTCATCTCGCCAGCGGTCGCCTGCCCGCCAGTCGTCTGGGCGTCGGCCCCCAGCTCCGCGTTCGCCCCCTTCTGCAAAGCGCCAGCGGCTCTACTCCCCTCGCCGCGGGGACCGTTTTCCTGGCCGCCTGTGTCAGTAGGGCCCATCTCGCCCGCAGTCGCCTGTGCGCTCGAGCGCAAGTGGGCGTGCGCGTCGTGGGCGACGGGGAGGTGACAGTTGCGGCGGAAAAGCGGATCCAGCGCCGTCCGCAATGGAGCGCCGTCTTCTGAATAGGCTTGATGACGTGGAGAAGGAGCTTCGTCGCTCGCGTGCTGGGTCGGCGTCACCATCAGCTCCTCGCGCTGCTCCCGTCGTCCCTCTCTCCGTGCTCCTGCCCCACAATCCCTTTGGATCCCCGGCGCGTTCAGAGCGGCCGCTGCCTGCGGGGACGGGCTTCGTAGGTGCTGGTGGCGGCCCGCCGAGGGCTCAGTTTGCTCCGCGTGATCTCGCCGTGTCGTCTCACCGCGCCCGCGCGTATGCGTTGCTTCCGCCGATGAAGGAAGTTCCCACGGCGACCCTGAACCGCCTATGGTCGCTGGCGGCGTCCCTGCAGAGCCTTGAGCGGATTCTCCAGAAGTCATTTGACTCCATGCCGGTGAGCCCTCCGAGCAGGTTCTCTCAGAAACCGCGAGCTGATTGTCATGCGGCGGCGTCAGCGCTATTCGCGCTCGTAACGCCACTGCAGGTAGCGCCCTCCCCGGGAGCAACCTCGGCCAGCCAGCTGGCTGACTCGGCCCTGGCTCTGAAGACGCTTGTAGCAGGCCCTGGTACTCCTGTTGACGTTGTAGGCGCCACCGTGTCTGTGGTCCGCCAGTTGTGGTTGAGCACGAGCGGAATGCTCGCTGCCGTAGAGGCGGACCGCATGTAGGCGCTCCCCCCTTGCGCGTATAGACCCGTTCCATCCTCTACTTGCCAAGTGTATATGCTTGCTTTGTTTGTATCGGTTGCCTAAGCTACTATTGCTTGTTGTTTTCCCTTGCCATCCCTAACGCGCGGCCGAAGGCCGCCAGCGCGAAGCGCCAAAATTTCCAGCACTAACTGAAAGAATGAGAGATGGAGAGGCCGCCGTGGCCTTAAGTAGTCATGGCAGAGGGCAGAAAGCAGAGGGCAGAGGGTAGAAGGGGAGAGGCTAATCCTCTCTCTCTCTCGCTCTCTCGAACAACACCAAAATTTCCAGCACTAACTGAAAGAATGGGAGATGGAGAGGCCGCCGTGGCCTTAAGTAGTCATGGCAGAGGGCAGAAAGAAGAGGGCAGAGGGTAGAAGGGGAGAGGCTAACCCCCTCTCTCTCTCTCGCTCTCTCGAACAACACCAAAGTTTCCAGCACTAACTGAAAGAATGAGAGATGGAGAGGCCGCCGTGGCCTTAAGTAGTCATGGCAGAGGGCAGAAAGCAGAGGGCAGAGGGTAGAAGGGGAGAGGCTAATCCCCTCTCTCTCTCTCGCTCTCTCGAACAACACCAAAATTTCCAGCACTAACTAAAAGAATGAGAGATGGAGAGGCCGCCGTGGCCTTAAGTAGTCATGGCAGAGGGCAGAAAGCAGAGGGCAGAAGGTAGAAGGGGAGAGGCTAATTCTCTCTCTCTCTCTCTCGAACGGTCCGTTGTATTAATATCATCAAGGTACACACACGGTAAGGAAGCAAGATACACACAACTTGGCTACAGGTGCAATCCCCTATCCTAACACCACTACACCCGCCCCCTTTCCCTTCCGGCCCTAGTGGCCGGAGGGGTCTTCTATCAGTTGGTACAGCTGGCCCTCGCTCAGCGGAGTGAAGGGTCCCTGCAGGCCAAGCGCATCCGCGGTAAGAGCCTCGTGGGTCTTATTCCTGAGGGCGTTGGCTTGGGCTCTCTACAGGGTCACGCTCCATCGCTGTCGGTACTCGGTAAGTAGTTTTGCCACCTCCCTCGACTTTGGGGAGGCTTTAAAGCGCCGCTTCGCCGCTAGCTCCGCGCAGCTGCGAAGGAAATCCAAGACTCCAGGTGAGGGGTAGCCATAGGTCTCCACGGCCATGGCGTAGAAGCCCACCCATGGGCTCCGCCCGGCGTACTTTGTCTCTTTTTTGTCCGCTTGCATCCTAGCCGCCCACCCGGAGGCCTTGCGCGCGTACTCGTCTTGGTGGGAGACGGGGTCTGTGACTGTGATGTCACAGATCCACACTGCAGCGGTGTCGGGATGGCGGATAGAGATATCCGCTTTGAGGTTATCGACCGGTGAGTATGCCGTTGTCTCCTTGTGCACCGTGAATCCTGCCTCAGCCGCAATCTTTGCGCACTCGTCGCGCAGGGCATTGTGCGTGCTAATTCTCCCCCCCCCTTTTTCACACCGCATCAAGTGATTCGGCAGACGGTCGTCCGGGAAGGTGGTGCGGTATCTGCAGTTGCAGCGTCTCGGCACTGGTAAGGGCAGTCCGAGACGGAAGGATGCCGCGGTGGAGAATTGGGAGGGGCCGAGGCGGAGGGGAGAGATCAGGGGGATGGCGAGCAGCCAATCCCCCGCCCCCGGGCCTAAGAGGGACTGTAGTCTCTGTGTGTGGCCAAGCAGTGGGTTCAGATCCATGGTCCGCGAGCTGTCCAGCAGTCGGATGTAGCGCGCGGTGTGCACTACAAGGTAGAGAGCTTGCTGCAGCTTTGGCCCGTTAGGCTTTTGCCTCCCAACTTGCAGGGCCTCTATTCCGTCTGGTGGCAGCTCGACTTCCAGGGTTGCGAGGCGGCATGGGAGCAGGGAGGTGGAATCGCCGTCCGCGTCCATCAGCGGCAGCAGTCCTGGTAGGGCCGGGTTTGCCGCGTTGCCGAAGGAGCGTAACAGGTGGGAGGCTGCTACATCTGATGCCAGGTAAGCAAATCTCCCCTCCACCGCAGGGTTAGTAATGCCGAGGCCTCCTAGGGATGCAGGCAGCGTGGCTTGGTGCCAGATTCTGTCCCGCTCTGCCCGGTCCCTAGGGACCTGCGTGTGTGCCGCGGCCAGATAGGTGTGGAGCAGTTGTTCCCCCCAGCCCGACCATTCTTCCTGCGGAAGGGCTTCGGGGGGCGTGGCTCGAGCCAGGAACGAGGCGCGGCGGCCTACGCAGCGGGTGAGTAGTAGCAGGCAGAGTTGGGGGTCCATCTGTGTGAGGAGCGCGAGAGGTTCGGCTGCTGCTGCGAGGCGCTCGCAAACTCTGGACGCGCAACCTGTGGGGGGGCCGATGGGGCTGCCTAAGACGCGGACTCCGTCCTGTGAAATTGTGATGTCAGGAGGTAAGGTGGAGGGGTCGAGCGCAGCTGCGGACCATGCTTCACACTTCGAGGGGTTGTGGACCAGCCCATGAAGTCGAAGGGCTTCCGTGAGGTGTGCAAAGGCTGCCGTGCAGTTGGCTGCCTCCCCCAGCAGGGTGATGTCATCAGCATACGCCAAAAACACCACCTCCGGATGTGCCGCCGCCGATTGGACGAGGCAGGGGTGAATGCTGGCTGCAAACAGCATGGGTCCTAGCGGGTCCCCTTGACGGACTCCCCTGGCGCTCCTTAGAGGTTCTGCTCCGAAGTCATGGTCGAGGTAGAGCGCCGATGGGTTGCCGTATGAGAAGCGAACAAGGGGCACCAAGGCTTCGAGGTCGGTGCATTTCAAGCCCTCGAACACTGCCGCGCGCTCGACTGCATTGAAGGCGTTGGCCAGGTCTATCTGCAGCGCTGTCGCTCCTGGGAATTCCTCCAGGTAGGTTCGTGCTGTGTGGATAGCTGCCTCTATTCCTCCCGCGATTGCTACTCCGAACTGTAGCGGGGTGAAGTGCTCACGCGCCGCTGGTGCGGCTAGGAAAAGGGCCGCCTTGGCCACGAGGCGTAGTAGGCATTCGCCTACTGCTATCGGCCGCGTTCCGCCGTTTGGTTTCGAGAAGGCGAGCAGTCGTGACGCTGTTAGGAGTTCCGCCACGTCCGCCGTCAGCTTTCCAGAGAGTACCGTGTTGGTAAGGGCATGCAACTGCAGGAAAACGTCCCCGTTCCCAAGGGCCGCATCTTTGAGGTGCTCAAAGGTGGTGCCTGATGGCCCAGCCCCCACTCCGTTGGGGCATTTTGCCAGTAGTCGCCTGAGGTCCCGGGCAGCGATGGCAGGGACGTTCTCTGGGGCGAAGTCCAGCACCCAGGAAGGTATGGCCGTGGCGGTGTCTGTGTGCCTAGCTTTTAGTGCGTCAAGTACTTCGGCGCTCGGCGTGCAAACTGGCGTGGCGGTAAGAGTCTGTAGTGATTTCGCCAGGTTCCCCCGTTTCGCCAGGCCTTCGGCCCGCGAGAGCTTGCCTGTGTCGTCAGGTGTGTGTCGAGGTTGGGGGTTGCTGGTAACCGCGTCAACTGCCTCGTCGTACAGGTTGCGCCACTGACCTTGGCGAAATCGTGTAATCCTGGCCCCCATGGCTTTCCAGTCGGGTGTGCGTGCTGACGAGGTGCGCAGCAGGATGCGCGGGAGGAACATCAGCAGCCTCCAGCCTGCGATGGAGTCGGGGTTTTTTGCCGGGTGCAGCAGTGGCGTCAGCAGGCATATCGCGAAGGATTCGCGAAGTGGGCGGGGTGGGTGGCGGGCAAGGGGTGGCTGTCTGCTGTCGCGCAGCGGGCAGAGGTCCCAGTTGGCGACGTCTGCGAAAAGGTCCTGACGGCCTGCGAGGTCGTCAGCGCTGATGATTGGGTCAGGGATGGCGGGCGTTGGGGCCGTGGCAATGGTTGGAGCGGTGGTAACCGTATTGAAGGGGGCGGCTCGGTTCTGCCTCGCGGTCCGATTTCTGGGAATTGGAATTGCAGGTGCGTCTGGGCCTGGGGTTGGATTTTGGCCCGCTCCTTCGGCTGTGGCTCGGCTGGCAGGTTCGCCTCGGACATTTGATCTGGCGAGCTCCTCTTCCCGAAGCAACAATTCCAAGTCATCCTCGTCCTCCCTGGCTTCCGCACCCAACGTCCCCTCTCTTTCAGGGTTAAAAGCGGGGTCACCCTCGTCACTTCCTTCAGTCTCCACTTCCTCCTCTGCCTCCTCGCTAGGTGGATCCTCGCCGCCCTCTGCGCCGTTCCGTATCTGCCTCTCCGCGTTTCTCGCGTAGCCGCTTGCATCGGTGCGGCGCCTGTTTGAACCCCGTGCTTCACCTCCCCTTCGTCCTCGTGCTGTTCCCCTCCGCCCGCGGCGGCTGCCGCGTCCCACGTGTATTCCGCGCGTTGCTCTTCCTACAGCAGCTCCCCCGCGCTCTGTTTGCGGCGCGGCGGCCACTTCGTAGTTGCGTTGTCGGCGCACTGGCGTCGGTCATGGTGCGATCGAGGGTGATGGACCCATCCGCGA